TTTTTTTTTTTTTTTTTTTTTTTTTTTTTTTTTTTTTTTTTTTTTTTTTTATAAATTTATTTAATTTTTTTCCTAATAATCCGCCCTTTTTTTATTTTGTCGTTATCTTATTGGCATTACGTGTGAATATTAAAAAGCAAAATAAAACGGAAATTTGGCCATTAGAGATAAATGGGGTTTTGTGTTTTGCATGGAGTTGATGGGCCTTTTACGTTTCTAAGCCCAATAATATCCCATGGGCCGTGAGTGAGGCCCATTTGGTGGAGTTCATTTTCTTCTCATTATTTTTTAATTAAGAAACTTTTTATAAAATATAATAAAAATATTAAAAGAGGTCAACTAGAAAACTTTTAAAAGACCCTTTAAGCACAAATTCTCGTGGCTATATTTTTTATTTTTTTAGAAAAAATTTGTCGAGTTATAGTTATTTCGTCTCATTTCCTAAAACCGTTGTAAAGGAGAAAGAAGTACATGAAAATGGAGATTTATTCGAACACAATCCATTGAATATAATAGAGGAAGATTAAGCAAGCCATCAGGCTGCTCTCTTCTTTTGAAGTTAAAAGCTAAAGTTATAAGGCAAAAATGAAAGCTTTTGAATTTGTCCCCATCCTTGTTGCTTCACTTTCCAAGTGATACAAAATCATATCTCCAAACCATAAAATTCCTCATATGCTTTACTTTAATTTCTTGATCCTTTCACATATTCAACTTTTTTCAAAAGGGTTTCTCCCAACACAGTCACTTTCCTCCATGGATGACTCACCAAACCAACAAAAATACCTTTAATTCATCAATGAGGTGGGAAAAAAATAGGTGAGGAATCTCTATGAAGTTTCCCATCCAAAATCCGAACTTTCCTCATTTTCGCCTCGCACCAATGGAGTTGTTGTTCGTTTATTATATCTGCGCTTCTCAAAACCCTAGACACCACTTTTAGGTCTATAAGACCCATCAAAATCTCCATTTCTTCCTCGACTCCCATCTTCCGTTTCCTCCTCAAGCACTTCCCAGCACGACGAAGGTGTTTAAGCTTTTTCGTCTTCTGCAAATTTTGTTCAAAAGGGTTATTGTTTTGAGTAAAAGAATAAAGGGAGAGTTTTTTTTTATAATGTAAAAATGAGCTTACTTTTTGGTTAACTTTGTTCATGAGTTGGAGGAGATTTGGATCAACTGAACCCTTGTTTTTCCTCTTGAAAAATGAAGCTACAATTTGAGAGGGTTTCTCTTTATCTGCTTTCAGGAAATTCATGTATGTTCTTATTCCTTCTTCCATTATCATTTGAAATGAGTGTGAGGATATTCTTGAACCATCTTCCTTTTGTTCTTCATCTGAATCTTCAAAACATTTAAATCCTTTCACATTGCTAAATCACTTCATTACTTTAATCAATTACTTTAATAAAGCAAACCACAAAAAGAAGTTGGCTTTCATGCTAAGAACACATCAATTCATACTCACTTTCTCATATGCTTTGTTTATATTAAATTAAAAGATGCATAGTGTGTGTCATCTACTCATTCATTAAATATTGTACACAAAAAAATCAACTTTTTTGAAAGAATGGTTAAGAATTAATGTTAGCAATCACGAATCTCCACAATAGTATGGTATTTGTCCATTTTGAGCAAAGCTCTCGCAGTTTTACCAATGAAGATGTATTCTTTACTTATAAACGCATGATTATTTCGTAAATTGGTTCGGAAGGAAAAAAAAAAAAAAGCAAAAAGAGTGTACCTATAAATTCAGGGACTTGGAGCAAATTAGGAGCCAAACGTCTCATACGAGCATAGATCTCAGGGCGACGGCCGTGGTCGTAAGGCTCATTCTCGATATAACGCTGAAGAAGAACTTGAAACTGTTGAAACTGTTGAGCGAGTTTGGCTGGACATCCAGTGTCCAAATCTGTCTTACAATTAGAACCCAATTTCTTGTTGACAAAGTTGTTATAGTTCCAGTTAAGAGCCTCCCATGTCCAGCAAATTTGTGCCACATAAGCAGCCTCCAGTTCTTGATAAGGATTTTGCTTTACATGATGTGAAGGCTTCTTGTTAATGGTTGATAACTTATGAACAATCCTCTCTGATACTGATCTTGGACACATTTGAATTAATCTGAGTGATTCTGTGTGGAATTTGATGGGAATTGGGTTATGATAAAGCTTGGATTTTTTTAAAGACAATAAAGTAAGATTGAATAATGACCTGTTTCATGAAGCTTTTGGGCTGTGATTCTGTGAAGAAACATCATTTCTTCATCATATTTCTGGAAAACAGTGTAGGATTCCCATTTGGGGCAGCTCCTCCTTGAAGAAGAAGAAAATGGATCATCAGTGCCAGAATCTCTACAGTTTATTGAGCTTCTCCACTCTGATGAACTCTTTGAAGTTGATCCAACGGTGCATGAATCCCCAAATATCTCTTCTTCTTCTTTTTTAACCATTTTAGTTGCTGCAAATACCAAATATTTCTCATTTTCATTAACCTTTTTAACTTCCTCCTCCTTCTTCCTATTTTCATCTCCTCTTCTTTTATCTTCCTCCAATGAACCCTGCATTCCATTGAAAAGATAAGAATACAAACATTTTGTAATAGCCTAAGCCTATCGGTACTAGATATTGTCACCGATTTTGTAACCGTGTCTGTTAGAGAGAGATTTCCGCATTCCGATGTGGGATTTCACGGTATTTATAAAATTTATAAGACTGACCTTAAGTTGTTCTGGCATCTGGTGGTCTTCCTCTTCCTCTTCATCTTGGTGTTGATGATATTGATGTTGTTCTAAGGCTTGAGGAGACTCATAAACTGAGCTATTGGTAGTGGTTTGGCCATCAGGGTCTGTGGAGTCCATAATCCAGGGCTCCTCCAAGTCAGTGAGCAATACTTCTTCTTCTTCATCTGGAAGCTGCCTTTGCCACCGACTCATCCGAGTTTCGGCTTCTTCGTCGAGGTACGACACTGTTCCAGTCTCGCCGTGGATTCCGTTGCCATATCCTTCTTCTTCCTCCTCCTCCTCCTCCTCCTCGGATGAGAAGTTGTATTCATATTCATACTCATTTCTGCAAACAAAACATTGATATCAACAAATATATAATATGATAGATAGAGATGGGAGTGATGATGATGGTGGTATCATAAAAGTGGAAAATTGGATATTTGATGATGAAAGTGATGACCTTGGGAATAAAGGGGTGCCCAGGAAGTGGAGGAATTTGAAAAGTAAAATGGAGGAGAAGGAGATGAAGAAGAAAAGAAGGAAGAAGGAGGTGGAGAGATTGTAGAATAGCCTTAGAACAGCTTCTTCTTCTGCTGCTTGTTGTTGTTGTTGTTGTTGTTTAGGCCAATATTGCATTTTTGTTGGTGTTGATTATTGGTCTAACATCATCTCCTAAGTACTCCCTTCTTCAAAATCAAAAGGAAAAGGCAAAGAACCATCTCTCACAAATTCTATTCAAAAAGCAAAACACAAATGGATTCATATATACTTTGGTTGCTTTTTATATCTCATGCCTATCATCTTTTTGTTTTTGTCCATTTCCTTGCTTCAAAATCTCATCTTTAACCCTATAAATGAGGCTATAATCTCCAAGGGGCTCCAACAAAAAAAGATGCATCCCTCGAACACTAACACACTGCAAATATTGTCTACTTTGGTCTGTTATGTATCGTCGTCAGCCTTACAATTTTAAAACGCATCTATTAGAGAGAGGTTTTCATACTCTTATAAGGAAGAATGTCTTGTTCCCCTCTCCCACCAATGTGGGATCTCAAAATTCATCTCCTTTAGAGGCCAACGTTTTTGTTGGCCTAACGGTCGGTGTCTGGCTCTGATACCATCTAATGCAGGATCTCACAATCTACCACATTTGGGAGCCAGAGTTCTCACTGGCACAACGCCCGGTGTCTGGCTCTATACCATCCAATGTGAGATCTCACACTAGGGGGCCAACATCCTCGCTGACACAACACCTAGTGTTTGGCTCTAAAACTATCCAATGTCGGATCTCACAATCCACCTCCTTTAGGGGCGAGCATCCTCGCAGGTACACTGCTCAGTGTTTGGCATTGAAACCACCCAATGTGGGATGCTAGCATACTGCTCGGTGTGGGACGCTGGCACACCGCATGTTGTCTGGCTCTAATACCATTTATAACAGTTCAAGCTCACTGCTAACAAATATTGTCTAGTTTGACCCATTACATATCGTTGTCAGTCTCACGATTTTGAAACGTGTCTACTAACTTGAGCGGTTACACATTTGTTTGAAGCTTGTTCTAAGCTTTGCCACTAAGGTTTCTTCTCACTTGTTTGTATGCTCATCTCTGAATTTCTGATTTGATGACTAAAGTGTGAAACTTTAAACACTCATAATCATCACTACATGAATATTGAGTTGACATAAAAAGGGTTTAAGTTGACGATTAATGTATTATAATCTCTTAATTCATATGTTTAGCATCGTAATTCCTCCTTAAAACCCAATTTCACGTTAACATAATGTATTAATGTACCAAAAGAGTGTGTGACTAAAGTCCTACACAAAATGTTTATTAATACAACTTTATCATTAAATGGTTCAAAGATTTAATTAAATACTTAATTAAGTGAAAAAGAGAGAGAATTTGAATAAATACACACGTGGGTGAGTTTCTAGAAAGCGTAAGAGATTTTGATTACGTAATACGTTGAAAGTTGTAGTTAGGAATGAAATTAGAGAGAAACCCAGAGATTTGCATTTGGTTTGGTCACCCTTTTAACTACTTCCCTTAATATAACCTTATTTATATATACGCTAATTAAACCGTTTCAAAATTATAATGAGTCCAATGTCAATGCGAATACGAGATAAACAAATCTTCTTATACCTCTCGGATTGCATTTTAAATTGAGCTCGATCCTCGAGTAAGTACTTACTTCTTGTTTAGCAATATCATTTTACATGAGAGTATCTCGATACGTAGATTAATATAATTAATGAACGGTCCGATTCAGCGTATTTGAGGTTTAGCTTTTAGGGTGTTGGGTGGGTAAGAATGGGTAAAGGTGGTTGGAATTTGGATTTTATACTCTTTATACCTCAAATACCAGGTACCCATTATACTTTGTTCATGCAAATCAATGGCATTTTGGTCATTTGTTAGCCGTAGAAAAAAAAAACCTCATATTTCCATGCATATCTTTGTCAAAGTGTTAGCTGTAATAAACAAGATAAAAGTACAGTCTTGGTAATGGCTGCCGCTTCCCAGCTTCTTCTTCAAGGCTCTTCAGAATTATCATCTCACCCATTTATAACCCCATCTCGCTTCGAGTTTCAAAGCTTCTTCTTCTTCTTAAAAACCCGACGACACGAAAAGAATCGATAGCGTTCTTCAATGGATGATAATCTCCCTCCTGGATTCAGATTCCACCCTACTGATGAAGAACTCATTTCTTATTACCTCACTCAAAAGATTTCTGATTCTTCTTTTACCTCTAAAGTAATTGCGGTCGTCGATCTCAACAAGAACGAGCCTTGGGATCTCCCAGGTATATTATATTACATTTCTAGCGTTTTAGATAGGGGTGTACATCTAACCCGACAACCCGGACCAACTCAACTCAAATTATAAGAGTTGGGATGAGTTGGGTTACTTTTCCTAAACCCGAATTGTCTCGATTCGGAAGTGTTTCATCGTGTTTTTGTATGATTCAGCCAAAGCTTCGATGGGAGAGAAAGAATGGTACTTTTTCAGCTTGAGAGATCGAAAGTATCCAACAGGGCTTCGAACAAATCGAGCCACAGAAGCTGGCTATTGGAAGACAACAGGAAAGGACAAGGAAATCTTTGGAGGTGGTGCGTTGGTTGGAATGAAAAAAACCCTTGTCTTTTACCAGGGAAGAGCCCCTAGAGGCGAGAAAAGTAATTGGGTTATGCACGAATACCGCCTCGAAAACAACCATTTTTTCAAGCCTTCCAAGGTTCGTAGTACTAAATTATAGTTTACTATATGATATTTTCATTTATTACTATTTCCATATTCTTGTAATTTATTTGATTATAAAGAGAACTTTTCGTACTTTTTCCTAGGAAGAATGGGTAGTTTGCAGGGTGTTTCAGAAGCAAAATCCACCAAAAAAGCCACAGCAATCATCGTCCTCTCAGCCTTGTCCTTCATCTCCATGTGATACAAACTCAATTGTGAATGAATTTGGAGATATTGAATTATCAAATTTCAATGGGTCGTCTTGTAATTTCACCAATAATGTTTCAGCTCAAGCATATGAAACCAACAACATGAACATGAACATGAATTGGGGTGCACCAATGAATGACCAAACAGCTTCAATTAGCACTCTTCCTTCACTTTCATCATGGCCACCTAATCCCAATCTTCTAACTTCAAATCTTTCAATGAATTCCCTTCTTCTCAAGGCATTGCAACTTAGAACCATGAACCATTCTCAATTTGGAACTAACCATTTGAGCTTCCAAGCTTCTTCTTCTTCTTCCAAAGTTTTCGAGTCTCCGCAGCAGCAGCAGCAGCAGCAGCAGCAGCAACAACAGGAGCAACCATTGAACTTGGACTCCCTCTGGTGAAAATGCCACGCTAATTAACGCTCTTTGTAATATGTGAGATCAATAAGGGAAGTTTAGGTATATGTAATTTGAATGTGAAGTTTTAGGGTTTCGTTGAAAATGTTGTATGTTGATGTTGATGTTGAACCAAAATCCATTTCAGTGTTAAGGGTTTGGGGAGAAACCCCAAGTCCTTTTGTTTCAAATTCAACCCATCTTGTTATGTGCTTATATTTGACCTCCATTTGTATAATGCTTCTATTTAGTCTTTGTTAATCCAATCTTGACATGATATGTATACCCATCCTTGTAGGTTATAATCTGCCAAAACTTAATCTAGTGGATATTAGAAACAAATATTAATTAGATTTGATTCATAAACTAGAGAGATCATAACAAAATGAATGAATAAATAAAAGTTTTAAGGACTGTAAAATTTAGAATCTGATATGGTGTCAATGAACTTGGTTTTGTATATGATTTGAAAATGAGTGACCAAACATCCAAATGTTATGAAATTTCTTGCATATATAAAATTTTAAATATATGATTTTGTTGAATAGTTTGTGATACTCGAGTAAGGAGGGGTATGTGAATGAACTAAGAGTGCATACAAATGCATCCAAATGAGAGTTATTCTGAAGAAAGGCTTAAAAGAATTGAAACGTACTACCTATATCAATAAGGTGCATCTTCCTTTTTAGGGGCTCAACCATTGGAACATTATTGTTAAGCGTTCTTGGAGCAATTCTATGGGACTTGTGTTGGTTTTCCTAAGATGCATGTGAGTGAGAACAAAATATGCTAGAAGGACTCGTGTTGGTTTGTAGGAGATAGTTTTCACTCTTAAAAGCGAGGCTATCAGGTGCATAATCCAGATTTCGGATTCTCGAAAAGTAAGTAATATGACATATTGTAGGAAAATACTGGGAGTCATCAAGTGTCATTACATTGAGATTATCCATATTTTGATTTTTTTCAAAGGTTTTTTTTGTTGGGGAGATGTGTATTTTTCAAAGTAATTGACCGAGAGTTTTACATATCATGTATCGAACATAAAGAGTTGACTTTCTAAACCCTATGAATAAGAAGTTCCAAAAGTAAAACCTAATTGTTTGACTTTTGGCTTTCACATTGCATTAACTCAATTCACACATGCATAGTGGCCCATACATCCATAGAATATTTCCATCAATGTTTTAAAAAAATAAAAATAGCCATGTAGGTACCATGTGCAATTGTATTGCATGGTTGAAAGCTTTTTTAGGAGGAATCCTAAACTTAACTATTTCCTCTTATTACGAGCTCATTCAAATACCGACATCACAAAGATGATTATTCTTCTAACATTTCAAACTTTCACTCTATGATTATACTATTACAAAGATGATTATTCTTCTACCGAGAAAATCTCGAAATATGTACTTTTTCAACGTGAAAAATAAAAAAAAGAAGAAGAAAAAATTCTCTAGCTCTCAATTATTAAGAACTGGTCAAACAAAGAACCCAAATTGGCTCTTTGATCCTACTTTATGAACCTGTTGAACAAAACTAGAGTAGCACATACACAATAAACCATTTGGAAGTGGCATGAACCAGATATTGGTCAAGAATTAGGATGAAAAAATTGGGCCATTGGCTGAATTCATATATGGATCTTGCATTTTGTTGAGTAAAAAGTATACTATTAGAGCTGCAGAAGAGGGAAGTTATCCGCATCGAATCTACATGAAAATAAAAGGAAAGATCAAACCCATATGGGCTAGAACTTGAAGCAAATGATGGAGGGCTTCTTATAAGTTAGCAGGAACACTTTTGCAACCAGCTTTCAATGGAAAATGGCAACGAAATTTTTTTGCGTTGACTTAGGCGACACCGAGTCCAGGGTTGACACGTTCCACATCATTCGACCTGGTTGAGGAAACAAAACAAGGAGGTTCAAAAGTATTAGAGAAACGAAGAACTATGGATGTGATTAAACTCAACTCTTTAACATGGAGATAAATCCTAGACTGAACTGTACCACAAAAGGTAACAATCTCCAGAGAAATGTTTTAAAAGTAATCTCACATTACAAGAATCAGATATCCAGCACCTAATGTAGCATGATCATTGGCAATTAAACAACATGATTTAAGGGAAAGAATGCAGTACCTGAAATATGCAAATGCAATAAGAAAACTCCATGAGTTCACAAATTGAAAATGCTCTCCCTACTTAGTTCACTGGATCATCAGTGTCTTCTGAGTCGGAAAAATCAAAATCTTCATCCTCTTCGTACTCGCTATCTTCGTCATTCTCATCATCCGAAAATGCGGACAAAGATGCTTCCTCATCCTTCAGATCATAATGCGTACTTTTACCACACACTTCCTTCTATTCAATTTTTATATAGGAAAATAGCAGTCGGAAACTCACTTGGAAAGACTCTGAGACAGGTCCATCCTGAGACGACCCGTTCCTCTCGTCCTCTGAATCTTCGGTGATGCCCTACGATTGGCAATGAACAATGATATCAAACAAAAGATAAGGTGATCCGTGAAAGTATATTATTTTATTTGGGGTGGGGTCAGTTTGTGGTGCTAAAGCCACAGCCCACCCCATGCCGTGCGAGCTACACTGTTGAACACAATCCACGCATACAGAAAATTCAAAGTTCTAATAGCTACATGATCATACAAGAAACTCCTACATTTTACTCATCTATAAATAATAGTCCTATGTTACTTTGATTGGAAGACAATGCTCTGCGGAGTTAGAAAATTTCCAACTTACAATGTCTTTCTTCATTTGCTCTATGTTCTTCTCGAGTTCAGATATATGCTGACTGAGAGCCTACACAATTTCAGAAGGATGATACAAGGTGTATATCAGGGATTCATGGATGATTAACACCAAACATATAAAGTAATAGACAAAATGAAACCTCATGACGCTGCATGGCCACCGAACGCTTTAATGCTTTTGCCTTTGTAAGCAAGTTTCTTGGCCTCAAGGCGATGGGTCGACGATAATTCTTTCCTCGATAGTAAATAAGGGCATATCCTTTTGGAACTCTATCTATTGAAACTAGTATTCCGCCGCTCTCATACGCTAACAACCTTGCCGTTTCTTCCACAAAAGCAAGTGTCTTTTGCTTGCTAATCAACTTCACAAGTTCCCTATGCTTCCAATGTAAATGCATATTTTCAACAACACCATCAAAGACACCGCGAATGCCTGGAAAATCATGATTGTTTTATAAGAATTTAGAATTTCTTCATTGATATGTATCTATTTTCAAATTAATTTTGCTCACCTATAGGTAAATAAGCGGTCATTCGTAACCCAACCCTCCGAAACATGACCCGTTCCTCTTCTGTTATTGTTTCTTGGTCATCATCAGGGCTAGAGAGGATCATGGACGCTTCAATTTTAGATAACAACTTTTCTGCTCTAAGTTTCTTTGCTTGGGCCTAACCATCAAGTTGTCAAAAGATCAAAATTGATTATTCTATGAGAAGAGCAACACAAGATAATATCAGCAGTCCAATATTCTGGGACAGAATAAAATCGATAGTACTTACAACACCAAGCTTATGTTCGATTCGTCTGATAAGTCTTTCAGTTTTTGCTCTGGAGCTTTCTTCAATCATTCTTTCACGGTCTTCCGCAGATATTTCCCTTCCCCATCGGGACTGAGCCTCATAGAATTCAGCCAAAGTACCTGCAGGTGCCTGTCCATCAGTGCTCGATGAAGTTGCTTCGACCACTTTACTTCGAGTTTTCTCTTCCACATCTTGAATGTGTTTCGTTAATTCCTGCCTTTCTGCCAAAGCTGTGGCTACACTTGTTGGGAGAAAATCCTTCCCACGGTATATGACGATAAAATATTTATTTCTCAACAGTAGCACACCTCCTGTTAAGTTCTGCATTGTAGATAAACCTTATAGTGAAATGATACTAATACACAAATAACTCAGTCTAGATCTAGAATATGTAACGCGAGTAAGTAAAATATAAATGATTATAGAGAAAACCAACAGGCTGGCCATATAATTTTATAGAGACGACATATGATCCCTTCTAGGACTCCAGGTACATCAAAGGTCAAAGGGTTTCTGAGTAACATGAGATTTTTGTTCTCAACTTCTGCTAAAAAAGGAATCGAATTCATCATACGAAAAAATAAAAAGGAGGAGAAAAAAGAAGAAACATGAAAGGCACCTTTATCTCCTCAGCCATGAGTTTATTATTGGTATTCTGTATACCTCTTTTAACAGCAATTTTAGCTACTAGGCTCTTTTCCCAAAGTTTAAGTATAGCAACTGCCAAGCCCTGATGGTTCCTGTTTCTCCCTGCATGTAAGGATTTAGACGAAAATCTTCACCAAATACTATTCACCAAATACTATTTTCGTAACAGAGTCGTGCAACAAAATTAGAGGACATGAAAACGTACCAAGGGCAAAATGACATGGTAGGGATTTTGCAAGTTTCCTCATTTGAGTCATCTCTGCATTGGTCAGTCGGGACCGCATTCCTGTTGGGAGAAGCCTGAACGGTGTTTTGTAACCGGGAACAGTAGGAGGAAGCTGATCAGCATCAATAGGAAGAACTCCTGTGCCCCACCATTCAACAAAACGAGGACCTAAACCACCTATTAGTTGGTTGTATTCAGCCTCTTCCTCCGACATGGCCTCATTAGACTTCGGTGCCCCAATAGGCAACTTAGCCTTCTCCGGAGCTGAAACGGCAACATTGCCACTTGTTGTCGAAGTGGCAGCAGAAGAAACATCCGGGATGAATACCGCATCCCCCTCCGTTGCAGGGGGTTTAGTTTTAGATGGCCCTTCATAGTTACTACCACGGTAAACTACCATAACACTTCCAGACCTCCAAAGAACCAATCCTCCAGTTCGTCGCTGGCCACCACACCATGTAATTAGTTACATGCTCCATGCATTCATTAACAAAAACCAAGAACAAGATAGAAGGTGCTACAATATGAAGTTCTGTTTATTAGGCAGAACCAGAGAAACATTAAAATACCCATCTCTCATTCTACCTCGAGATATCAGTTCAAGAAAACATGTTTCCACACATCAATCCAATCCCAAATTTCCAACCCTGTGGACCAATAGTCTCACAATTGAAGTTTATGTGAATTTGTATGTTTAGTGAGCCTTCATTCGAGTGTTTATTTACACAAAGTAGACTAGAATACA